AAGAGTGAGAGAGACATGAGGCAGCCAGGCAGGAAGCGAGAAAGTGTTCGGCGGAGAAGGAGTGAGTTTTAGAGACGCCCGGCGAGCAGGACCTGCGCCTGCGGGAGAGCGTGGCCGCCTGGGCTCCTCGCCTCCTCTGCTTGCTCTCCTGTGTCCGCTTTCAGAACCCCGAGCGAAGAACAGTTCCCGGCAGCCCGCAGCGCTGTCAAGGGACCGCCGCTGGCCAGGCTACCTGCAGCCTTGACCTGGCTCAGGGGCACCCTCTGAGAACCCATCTTCTCCCCTCTGTTGGTGTGCAAGTCAACACGGGGGGGAAAGCATCCGGCAGCCTCAGGGAGCCCTAAAGAAGCTGAAGCAGAATGTACCAGGGACACATGCAGGTAAGACATTGCCATCGAACTGGATAGGGATCTTGGGGACTAATATAGGAGCCAGGGGGTTCACCAAGTTACTGTGGTCAAGTGCTGCCTTCATACAGTTCAACAAGTGAAGTGGTGCGACGCGATCATAGCATTTCAGTCCGGTGCTATCGGTAAAACTAGACGGGTTTCTGTGGGAGAAGGGGAGGAAAGACCTCGGAACTTTGACTGGGAAGTTTGTTTTCTGTGCATTCCCTGAGCCTGTTTCTTTAAACAAGATCAAGGAATCCAAAAAGAGGAAACCTGGAGATGACCGTGTTTCCGTTGTAATCCTACTGATGCAACTCGGCATGTATGTCAACTGAAGGGCAAACAATAATAGGAAAGACAAAGCTTCTCCTATGTCATCTGCAAAGGTTTCTTGGCAGTTGGAACACTTTGCCACTTTCGTATTATTTTTTAAAGTGATAATTTTTTAAATGGTTTGTGCTGTATTTTCCCCCTTCAGATGATGGGACATTGTCACCTATCCCTGTAGTCACAGGATGACTTAGGAGGATGAATTTCAAAACATGTCCAAGAGGCTCTAATGTTTTTCAGAGGAGGTGCTGTCTCTGGTTATTAAAACTCATCTGAGCTGAGCCACTGCTTCTCTACTCTCTTGGGCAAGATTACTTTAACCTTGATTCCAGTTCTCATTCACATGGTTGGTTCTTCCTTATAAAGGCAGGTGTATGCTTTGAGGGGAAAAAAATGAAATGCTAACTCAGCTTCCTAAAGTATAAACTGAGCTCTTTTTTTACTGTTCCTAAATGCTTTAGTCGTGGACTTAATGTTTGGGCTTCCTTTCCATTACAAAGATGGTCAAATACAGTTATCATATGTGGTGCTTTCACCCTGGTGTGTAATGTGTATGAATACTGAGGATGTTACTTCTGTGTCTTTAGAGCAATTTAAAATAGATAAATTAACATGTTACTGCATTTGTGACTTAGTATTACCCAATATTTAATTTCCAAGTCTTTGGGGAAATTCTTTTGTATTATAATTTATTTTTATATAAAATGGTATTGTATCATATTCCTAAGTTTTGTAAGAATTCTGAATCAGCACTATCAGAATTCTAAAAGCATTTCCCGTATTACTGACATCATCCTGTTTTGAAAATTATTAATAGAATTATATCACAGTTGTTGGACAATAATTAGTGCCTGAAGTTTATTTCTAAATATAAACAATAAATACGATCTGCATGTTTCTTATTAAAGGTACACTAATTGGAAAGTTTAGTAACAAAGAACCATTCAAACAATCACAGCTAAAAAAATTAACAAGGATTATTACCATAGTTCTATGTTTCATCTTCACCCAAGAATGATACTTATAATTTTATGTATTATCTATTTATTATCCCTAAGCAGTTTCTCCACAGGAGTAAAAATAGGCAGATTTTAACAAATGGAGTCAATCTTCAGAAAATTGCTCATTCACACAAAATTCATAATTGACTACTTGGGCAATTTACTGAAACTTTCCACATTATTTTTTGTTTGAAAATATGTTTTTGTGAATGAAGAATTGAAGCAACAATCTGGTAAACTCAGGCACCCCAAAAACAATTTAAACTAAATTTTCTGAGTACTTCAAGGATTGATGTTACTGAAACTTGAATTGTCTAGAATAATGTCTGAAGGTTTCATTTCACTTTGAGAGAATAGACAAAATGTAAGACTCTGCATATGATCCTGCCTTAATGTTTTTTGCTTGTGTACTGCTATAACAGCAAATATGATGGCTTGCAGTAAAACTCACAAATCTTTGCTGCCAAGCTTAGCTTGGAAACATTACTAAATATTGTAATCAATATGCTTGCCAAAATTTCAGAGCACAGTACTTTTTTCCTTTTTACTATTGACCACTGATGTTAACTTCTAAGGCTTTAATAGTTTAGTAGCTATTAAATGATATGATCATCTGAGTGGGAACACCCTACCCCCCCAAAAACCACTTATTTCAATCTGATTTATAATATAGTTACCTGCTGACATTTTAAAACCCCAGTCTCTTTCCCAGAGAATAGTATTTAGCCTATAGACAAAATCTCCGTTGTGCTGGTACATTTACATTAAATAAAGAATCTTTCCTTATCAGAGACTGTATCATCTTCCTGTGCGTACCTGACTCTGATCACAAGGGAGAAGAAGCATAGCCCAAACACTCCAAAATATTTGTGATTTAAAATCTGAATACATATTTGGTAAAGTGGACCAGGGATGAGCAGATTTACTAACATTTCTGCCAACTTTGGAGTTCATTTGAAACACTGGTGTTACTTGGCTGATACCTTAAAACAGGAGTGAAACAGAAAATATTGGCAATCATTAGCTCTGCCTTCTAATTCTACTCTTTTCTGTATCCAAGAGATTTAAAATAAAATGCTTTGTAAATAGGCAGTCTGAGTGGGGAGGTGTTCACATGAAGTCTTAAAAAATAGTCTGATTTAAAACTCCTGTAGTGCCTTTGTTTCTGCAACTTAACGATTTTGTAAATAAAGTCTATTAATTCTTATACATATGTCTAATTCATCCAGTTTACCATAGAAATTGAATTCATTTTAGAAGCCACAATATTTTAAAATCACACATTTGGTTTACTCTGCTAGTTCATTAGAAGATAAAAGTTGACATCTATTACAGATAGATAGCACAGCATAGTAGTGTAGATTTCTTGGTTTCAAAGTGAATGCCACAGGTATATTTCTTAGGAGTAGGGCCCCAGAGTTGTGCTGTTTTCCAAGTGCCTCAGCAGTTATTTCCAAAGGGAATTCATCACCCCAGCAACTTAAGCAAAGGTTGTTTCTTTAGTGACTTTTAGATTTACTTCTTTTCCCCTTTTGACCAGGGGGCCAATGGTGTTTAGATGCACTTTAGCATCAGTTCTAACCAACTTTCTGTTTCTCATAGATGACCTGTGATCTTAATCCCTCCAGTACAGCTATGCGCTCTGCACTGCGATGCTTATTTGTATATGGCCATATGAGTTAACACTGCCAATTAGAGCAAAATAATTACATCTCTGAATGTTCCCTTAGCCAAACCTTTTTTCTAAAATGGTATAAATACAAGGCAATATAATTTCAATTTTGAACTAAGATTTTCTTATTTTTAATAAAGGATCCCCAGTAGCATTTTTTGTTACAGAAGAAAGTTATTTCAGAAGACAAACAAAAATATCTATTCGTAATTTTAACTGATCTTTATTATAGGCATTGAAAACAGACTTCTTTTTGACTTATTCAAGCCTGCCGAGGAAAAATTCCACACCCTCTGGCTTCACAAGACATTAATTAAGAAAATTTAAATGACAAAAATTATAAAATTATTAACAGTTCAAAGAGTTGCCATTTATTTGTCTTCCCCCAAAGGGGTTTTGTGTTTTTATTTACGACTTTACTTAAGCTTTTAAAAAATTTTTTTCATGAAGGGGAACAGCTTGGATAACATAAATTATGTTAATACATTAGATCTGGCCACTGGAGACTCATTTGGTTCACTAGAAACAACAAACATAGGAAGCCAGTCCAAAGTAAGGGCATAGAATGTTTTTCAACATCTATAACAGCAGTTTGTCATAACTGATACCTAAAGCAAAATTGTAAAGTAGATAATATTTGTCATGGATACTTGCACTTTTCTAAAAGATCCATTTTTCCCCTCCTGATGCCACCATTTTCTATCCTGTGTCATTTCTTTATCAACCCTTTGCTAACAAAAATATAATTAATACCAATATACCACACACATACACACACACACACCATATTTGCATTTTTAGAGGAAAATCTTTGAAAATTAGGAGTTTTTTGCAGGGGAGGGTTATGTTTTAAGGAGAATGAGGTCATGCCGGCCTAGGGCTGAGATTGATTTTGTTGATTTGGTCATGGATAGCTACTTCCCTCCCCTCCCCTCTCCCCCCACCAGCTCAAATAGTACCTGCCCTTCCTCCTCGAAGTCCTCCTATGAATGATAATCAGTGTTAATACTCCTTGAATGAATTTATTTCAGACATGAATTTATTGTCTGAAATAGTATTAACTAGAACTCTATTGAAGGAAATTCATGTACGGTGAAGCTGATGTGCAAAATTATGACACAAGCTCCAGCGAGATTCCGAAGTGCCTTCCTATATATTTACAAGCAAATCGTGCTTGGTATGAGAGTAATATTGAGCTTCTAGCACTTAAAAATTATAATACTTATGGTATAATATTGCTGAATACTTGATTAACCTGAAAATCTCATTCCCCAGCTATACCGGCCAACAGTTTACATTATAGACTTACTGTAAGAAACACAATATGTTCTTCCTAGATTTTGTTTATGGTTTATAAACATTCTTCCTAAAAACATGTGTTTGAAAGAAAAAATTCTAGCACACAAATGTTTTGACTATAAAACATTTTTAAAGTAAAGAATAAGAAAAGGTTAAAACAGAACTTGTTGATTTTAAAATCTTGAATCTCCAGTATTACCACTGCCAACCTAAGAAACATTAAGATGTGATGCACCATGTAGTCAAAACATCTGGCAGGCTGCTTTTTTACACTTTGTATTGAGATCGCATGTTGCCAACACAGGCATAAGTTAGAGCCGTTGAAATATTTTATATTCTAGAATTAATTTCTTGATACATTTATGTAATAACTGGTGTGCATTTCCCTCACTAAAAGTGAGGGCACACTACAGCCTAATGTTTCCTTATGGGACCTAAGTCCAATCTGAGTGTTTGGCGACATCTAAACATGATGTCATTTCAAATACACCAATAAAGAAAATGGGGTTGCCAAGTTTCTGAAATATGAAACCTTTTTATGATTCAGACTTTGTAGAAGGAAACAAATCACCTTGAACTATATAGCATGTAACCCACGGATCAGAGGCCAGATGCTGTGAATTGGGGGTTACATTTCTTGCAATGACCCCTTCCTTCATCTTCACCTCACCCACTTCCCACCCCTCCTC